CCCTACTCCCCTGACCCTCATTCCTGCCCTATCCCCCTGAGCCTCATTCCTGCCCTACTCCCCCGAGCCACATTCCTGCCCTATCCCCCCGAGCCTCATTCCTGCCCTACTCCCCCCGCTCCCCCCCGAGCCTCATTCCTGCCTTACCCCTCTGAGCCTCATTCCTGCCCTATCACCCTGAGCCACATTCCTGCCTACACCTGATGGTTTATAGATTACCACTAATCGCGTCCCACCAGATACACAATCTTTTTTCATTCGCAGGATGTAGTGTAATTGCTAAGACCAACAGTTAATGCCTGTCCCTAGTTGCCCTTAGGAAGGTAATGATGGGAGCTGCTTCAGGCCCTTGAATGATAATTAAGGTGAATTTGGATCAATCCTCGGTCCAATCACATTTGGAGTATTTTGCCCTATTCTGGTCTGCGTGTTTGAATACAGAAACAGCTAGAAGGATTTGCAATACTAATCCCAGAATACAAGGATGCAATTGAATATTCTAATTGTCAGGAAAGACTGAGCTGGATGGTGGTCTTCTCTTTACAAAACAGAAGGCCAATGGATAATCTAGTCTTCTAAAGTTATGACAAAAGTCAATAGGGGCATGTGTGGAAAAACTATTCCTACTTGTACTGATCCCAAAGCAATGGGCCATTGACATAACATAGTGTGGTTGTTGACTTGCTCGCCGAGCTGGCTTGTTCTCGTTCAGATGTTTCGTCACCATGCTCGGTAACATCATCAGCGGACCCTCCGATGAAGCTATATTATTCCTGCTCCACTCGGAATTTATATTGTCTGGTCTGTTATGGGGAGTGGTGTCATTATGTCACTATACCATTGTGTCAAATGAGAGCACTCACCATAACGGACTGGACAGTATAAATTCCAAGCAGAGTAGGAATAACATCGCTTCATCGGAAAGTCCGCTGATGATGTCACCTAGCATAGAGACGAGAACAAGCCAGCTCGGCGAGCAAGTCAACAACTTCACCCACAACCCGAGCTACCGATCTTTGTCAAAACTTTAAACATAAAGTGATTCCTACAGAAAAGCTTCTTTCCCCCAGAGAGTGGTGTGAATGTGGACCTCACTGCCACAGGGAGTGCCTGAGATAAATAGTGTTGATACATTTAAGGGGTAGCTAGCTACGTAAATGAAGATCAAATATGGGCATTGTTTGCAACATTTATTGTCCAACCCTAATTGCCCTAGAACCAAGAGGGCCATTTCAGAGGGCAATTGAAAGTCAACAACACTGTAGTGGGTCTGGAGTCACATGTAGGCTAGACCAAGTGAGGATGGAAGTTTTCCCGCTCAAAAGGTCATTAGTGAACCAGATGGGGTTTTATGATAATCGACAATGGTTACCATTCATCCAGCCTTTAATTCCACATTGTATCAATTCAATTTAAAAATTCACCATCTGCCACAGTGGGATTTGAATCCAGGTCCCCACAAGTGAGAAGAGAAGGTGTGGGAGGATTTTTGTGTTGAGTATTAGCACAAGCATGGAGCAGTTGGCCTGAATGGCCTGTTTTTGTGAATGCTATTGTTGGAAATGTTCGCCACAATTATTCCCATTTCTTTGTTTACAATTGCAGGCTTAAAGTCACAGAAAGTAACTTTCCGCATTCTCTATCTCGTACAGAACATCTCAGTGTGTCAGGAAAAACTTGTGACGTGGGTTTTCATTACTGTTAAGCAATAAGCAATGTATTTCTAACACAGAAGAGTTACAAAACATATTCCTTCAGATTTCCTTCCTTATTTGTGTTTTCCTGTGTATTTTCTATTGCACATTTTAATTTTGTATTACTTTAATCTTTACTCTCAAACGCACTCATTACTTGACATGATGTCTTTGTAATTCTGCACTTGTCAATCCCTTCACCCTTGATCCCAGTTGTGGCAGGGTGAGGATTAGTGACCCTCACCAGGGGTCAGTCGGAGATGCGTGTTGTGACAGTCTCTTCAACTTAGTATCATGTTCCCTGTAAGCTACAGGGGTAGACGCACCTATATTCCACGCACTGGCCACCGCATTGTCCTCCGATTGCGCACAGCAAGACCCCACAAAACACGTAGTCCCTGCTCCAGCAACAGCCCCTTCCCCCACTAACAGCTCCCTCTCCCAGTAACCACCCTGTCCCCCAGTAACCCCACCTTCCCCCAGTAACCGCTGTCGCCCAGTAACAGCTCCCTCCCTTTAAAACCCCCTACCCCCAGTAACCCCATCCCCTAGTAACCCCCTCCCCGAGTAAAAGCTGCCTGCCCATAACTCCCCCTCCCTCTGTGCCCGTTGTAACAAACTGCTCAGACCCAACAAATGGGCTTTCTCTGATGGAGGAGGAAGGGTTGGGATCAAAAGGATTGGTATCCAAACACCGCTTGGATAGTCTGATTTGGTGATGCTGATTGAGGGGTGAATAGTGGCCAGACTGCCCATGCTGTTTTTTTTGAGATAGCACTGCGGGATTTCTGGTATCCAAATAAAAGAGCCTTGGTTTGACATCTAACCCAGAAGGTAGCTCTCCCTTCAGGGACACTTGTGCTCAGAGACGGGGTTCCAAATCCTCATGCCCTGACTCAGCGATGACAGAGGTCTGCCCCACACAGCTAACCTCAGCCCCACTTTCACAACCTTGATGACAGGACTGCCCAGGCCAGCTGGGAGCTTGGCAGTAGGGAGGCAACACATTCATACATTCACCCTCCTTCCCAACCTCTCAGAATGTTTGCATTTGAACAGAATCACTCGTCCGCAGTAATGGCCGGCTCAGAAATCTGCACAAGGCAGGATTGAGTTTGCTGTTCCTCTGGATTCCTGAGCCTGGAACTCCCAAACCAGTCCAGCTTTCTGAGCTTTATATAACCCTGTCCTGATCCCAACCCTTCCTCCGCCATCAGAGAAAGTCCATTTGTTAGGTCTGAGCGGTTTGTTACAACGGGCACAGAAGGATAGTGATAGAGTTATACAGCACAGAAACAGACCCTTTGGCCCAACCAGTCCATGCTGACCACGTTTCCAAACTAAACTAGTTCCACCTGCCTGCTCCTGGCCCATATCCCTCCAAACCTTTCCTATTCATGTACCTGTCCAAATGTGTTTTAAGTATTGTAACTGTACCTGCATCTACCACTTCTTCTGACAGTTTGTTCCACACATAAACCATTCTCTATGTAAAAGAAATGCCTCTCGTTCCTTTTTTAAACCTCTCTCTTCTCACCTTAAAAATATGTCCTTTCGTTTTGAACTCCCCCACTTTGGGAAAGACCTTTGCAATTCATCTGATCTATACCCCTCATGATTTTACATACTTCCTACACTCCAGTGAAAAAAGTCCCAGCCTATTTTTATAACGCAAACCCTCCATTCCCGGCAACATCCTGGTAAATCTTTTCTGAACCCTCTCCAGTTTAATGATATCCTTCCTGTAGAGGGGGAGTTATGGGCAGGGAGCTGTTACTGGGGGAGGGTGCTTACTAGGGGATGGGATTACTGGGGAGAGGTGGGGTATAAGGGGAGGGAGCTGTTACTGGACGAGAGCGGTTACTGGGGAAAGGTGGGATTACCGGGGGCCAGGGTGGTTACTGGGAGAGGGAACTGTTACTGGGAGAGGGGGCTGTTACTGGGAGAGGGGGCTGTTGCTGGAGCAGGGGGCTACAGGGGAACAGGGTTATTGTGGGGAGGGGGCTGTTACTGGAGGAGGTAGGGTTGCTGGGGGAGGGAGGGTTACTGGGGAGAATGGGTTACGGGGGTGTTACAGGGAGAGAGGTGAGGTTTCTGGGAGAGGGGGTTTACTGGGGAGGTAGGATTACTGCGGGGAGAAGGTGGGGTTGCTGGGGAGAGGGGTTTACAGTGGGGATGGGGCAAAACTGGTGGGGAAAGGGTATTGCTACCCAGGGAGGGGTGGAACGAACGCTGTTCATTCTAGATGGAGCCGTTACCTTGTTCATCCATCCCGCTAACGTTATCAGTGAAAACTGAGCTCATTATTTCTCATTGTCTCTCAACACACTTCTCCGTCAACCCTCTTCCCCTTTTCTCTCTCAGTCTCCCTTCTCTTTTTCACTTACTGTTTCGTTCCCCCTCTCCATCTGATCCTCTTTAATTTCCACTGCTGCTCTCCTGCACTCTTGCTTTTCTCTGTCTCTCTCTGTCTATCTCAGAGAATCCTGTTCACTGCACGTGTCTCTGTGAGACCAACAGCAGGCTGAAACACGCAGATTGACTTTGTTCCTGGGCTAACCACTTGCAGTAAATCAGACAACACGTTAGATAGACTCTCGAATTCTAAATACGTCCGACAGAAGTGGGACAAAAATAAACAAATCATTTACCTTTCCAAAGCAATGTTTCGCACAGAAGGTAATCGACAGGGAGTCACTCAGTGATTACAGTCCTCTCATTGATAAAACTGGTTTCACAGAGTGTCACACAGGACGTGGCAGCGTGCTGTTGGGTAGGAAACGCTATGTCAATTGTCAACTTTACCAAACCAACCCCTCGGAAACTGTTACTCACCACGTTGCTTTAAAACCTGCACAGCCCTGTTTGTCACAAACCCCACTGACATAATACAAACTAGCGTCAATAGACCTTAGCTTATAGTCATACGGACCCAAAACTGCATGCGACATATGTACAGACCCTGTGTACTCTCTGTAACCTGGCCATTCTTTAGAAAACTGTAAATCTCAAACAGTCCCGAATCAGAAAGTGGGCTCATCTCATTCCGAGATTGAAAGTTCTGAAGGGGCTTGACAAGATAGACATTGTCAGGCTGGCTCCTTGCTCCCCGGGAACCTGGACCATGGGACACAGTCTCATGATAAGGGGGCAATCAGTTTGTGAGGAGATGAGAATTTTTTTTTCACTCCGAGGATCGGGAATCTTTGGAATTCTCTACTGCAGAGGGCTGTGGACACTCCATCATTGAATACATTCAAGACCAAGAGAGATAAACCTTTGGTCTCTCAAAGGATATGGAGAACAGCTGGAAAATAAAGTTGAGATAAAGGATTAGCATGATTGCATTGAATGGTGAAGCAGGTTTGAAGGGCTGAATGGCCTCCCTTAGGCTCTTATCTCTAACGATCTGGTTACACCACTGAGTAGTGACAGGAGCAAGTCAGAACCTCAAAAAACAACATCCTGTTAGCAGCCTTCCGAAGTAGTGTGTCCAATTCTGCCCTCCATCATAAGGTCAGCAGTGGGGATGTTCACAACGATTGCACAATGTTCAGCACCATTCACGACTCCTCAGACACCATGTTCAAATGCAACAAGATCTAGATAATATCCAGGCTTGGTCTGACAAACAGCAGGTGACATTCACATCATACAGATGCCAGACAATTACCATCACTAACAAAAATAATCTAACCATCACACCGCAACGTTCAATAGTGTTACTATCTCCCAGTGTCAACATCCTGGGGGTTACCATTGACCAGAAGCTCAACTGGACTCACCACATTAACGCAGTGACTACAAGAGCAGGTCAGAGGCTAGGAATACTGTAACTCATCCCCTGACTCCCCAAAGCCTGTCCACCATCTATAAGGCACACGTCAGGAGTGCGATGGAATACTCCCCACTTGCCTGGATGGGTGCAGCTCCAACAACACTCAAGAAGCTCAACACCATCCAGGACAAAGCAGCCGCTTGATTGGCACCACATCCACAAGCGTCCGCTCCCTCCCCCACCGATGCTCAGTAGCAGCAGTATGTACCATCTACAGGATGCACTGCAGAAAATCACCAAAGATCCTCAGGCAGCACCTTCCAAACCCACAAACACTTCCATCTAGAAGGAAAAGGGCAGCAGATACATGGGAACACCACTTCCTGCAAGTTCCCCTCCAAGTCATTCACCATCCTGACTTGGAAATATATCTGAAAACAAAAATTGCTGGAAATCACAGTGGGTCAGGCAGCATCCGTGGAGAGAGAGCGAGCTAATGTTTTGAGTCTAGATGACTCTTCATCAGGAAATATATCGCCATTCCTTCAGTGTCGCTGAGTCAAAATCCTGGAATTCCCTCCCTAAGGGCATTGGGGATCAATCTTTCTTTTAGGCAGACTCTCTGGATGAAGAATGACTTGCTTCATTCACGTTCAATGGGCGCTGGGTGACTGTTAAGCCCAGTGCCTGATCTGTAGATCCTGTCACATTCAGGGCAGGTGATGCTTGAAGGGTCAGATAGGTGTTATTGTAAGGTTTGTGCTCTTCCTTCCACACCTTGACTTTATCTTCATTCCCGAGGAAACCTCCCAGTGTGTCTGGAGCTTGTCTGATCAACGCTGTGCATTTTGGTGGGTCTCAAGATAGGGTCGCCCATGAGTCAGTGGGATTATTGACCTCTCCAGGTGGTTTTGAGGACCTCCCTAAAGGATTTCCCAGTCCTCCTGGGAGTATTCTGCTGAGGTCACTGTGGAGCATTAACTTTGAGGGTCCAGGGTCAGGAACATGAATGACTTGTTAGTGTCTGAGTGTTTCATACCTCGTACTTTCACATTTTGGCTTGGTAGAGGACTATCTTTCATGCCCCTGGATTTGAAGGATCTCCAAAGGTACTTCTGTGGGATTGCAGCAGTTCTTTGAGGTCATCCAAGGGTCTGGAGTGGGATGTACATTATTCATCTCCCTCTTTAAAGAAGGATAATAAATACATTGGGCACAGCTCAGGGAAGGTTTTCCAGACCAATATCTGGAATGGGTGGGTTGTTTTGTGAGGAATGGCTGGACAGGCTGGGTTTGTATCCACTAGAGTTTAGAGAAGTAAGAGACAACTTGATGGCAACATATAAGATCCTGGGGGGGTTTGGACTGGGCAGATGCGCAGAGCATATTTCCTCTTCTGAGGAAATCTAGAACTAGGGGTCAGTCACTTAAGACAAAGATGAGAGAAAACGTTTCTCATAGAAACTCTCTTCATCAAAGGGCAGTGGAAGCAGAGTCCTTCAATATTTTTAAGGGAGACATGGATAAATTTGTGATAAGGCAGAGGGTGAAAGGTTTTTGAGGACAGGAACGTGGAGTAATTAGGTCAGCCATGATCATAGAATCCCTACAGTGTGGAAACAGGCCCTTCGGCCCAACAAGTCCACACCGACCCTCAGAGCTTCCCACCCAGCCCCATCCCCCTATAATGCACCTAATCTACACAGCCCTGAGCACTATAGGCAATTTAGCATGGCCAATCCACCTAACCTACACATCTTTGGACTGTGGGAGGAAACCGGAGCAAACCCATACAGACATGGCGAGAATGTGCAAACTCCACACAGACAGTCGCCCAAGGGTGGGATCAAAACTGGGACCCTGGTGCTGTGAGGCAGCAGTGCTAACCACCGAGCCACCGTGCCGCCCTAATTGATCCTATTCAATGGCACAGCAGGTTCGAGGGGCTGAATGGCCATCCCCTAATTTATATTTACATGTTTACCTGTTTACATGTTGACACATTTACATCCATTTATAAATGCTGGCCTTGCCTTCATTGCAAGGACACATTTAGTGAACACTCAGCCAATGGCGATCTGGCAGTGATTTTGAGTTGACGGCCCCAGGCTGATGATTGGTGGTAAAATTATGTTGTTATCACAATCCCACGATGTCTGGCCCTCATCACAAACAGAAGGAAACTGCACGTAAGGGATCGGTTTATATCACAGTTTCTTACTACAAAGCAAACTCAAATTCTGCCAATAATGCAATAACCTCCCCATAAGTTGTGCTCAATACTAACCTGATTAACCATGTTGAGTTAGATAAGGTTATTTTGGCTCATATTGATTGAGACAATGATTAACAGCGGAAAAGACAAAGTTTCCCTTTCTGCATTGTGTACCACATCCCATAGCAAGATCTCAAAGTTCTTCACATAGTTACCTAGTTATAGCTATGTAGATAACCACACAGACCACAAGACCCATCAGCAAAGGTGGAACTGTGGGATGAGTGAGCAATTCCTGACGGGCTTCATTGTGGAGAATCCACGGATATTCCAAAAGCTCCTGCCATCCTCCTGCTCTTCTTCAAACACTAACATCTCCAATCTCCAAAAGCCGGCTTTTGCTTTAAGGGGAGCAGACGGGGCCAGTTGTACAGGGTCTCATGCAGAGGCAGTACTTCTGAGGATGTAGAAACACCAACAATGCAGCAAGGACAGCTCGCTGCTGTACTAGGAGGGGACAAACACATAGCTAAACCAAGTAAAGCCTAGTTCCACTAACAATAACCTGCATTTATAAAGCAACGTTAACATAGCAAGTTGTCTCGAGGCACTGCACAGAAACAGCATCAGACAATATCTGACATCAAGATAAAGGCCAAGGACTTGGTTAAGGAAATAGGTTGAAAAAAATCGTCTTAAAGGAAGAGGGACAGCTAGAAAAGTGGAGAGGTTCAGTTTGGGAGTTTCAGAACTTACAACCTGGGGCAGAAGACAGTGGCGTGATTAAATCAGCAGTGCCAGAGATGTCAAAATTAAATGAGATATGTTTTCATTCACCCATGGACCTGCATTTATTGCCCGCCCCTAGTTGCCCTTGAGAAGATGGTGGTGAGATGCCTTTTTGAACCGCAGTCAGAAGTCACACGACATCAGGTTATAGTTCGACAAGTTTATGTGAAATCACAAGATTTCAGAGCCTCGCTCCTTCGTCCAGGTGAAGTAACCTGGTGTCACGTGACTCCTGACCTTGTCCACCTCAGTCTAACACAGGCACCTCCACATTATTGAACCACTGCAGTCCATAGGGAAGGAATTCCAGGATTTTGGAAGAATGAAAGCGGATCTAATTGAATTATACAGGATGCTAAAAGCGATTGACAAAGTAGACATAGAATGTTTCCTCATGTGGGGCAATCTAGAACGAGAGGTCATAGTTTTAGGATAAGGAGGAGCAGAATTAAAAGTGAGATGAGAAGAAATTGCTTCTCTCAAAGATCATGAATTTGTGGAATTCACTACCCCAGAGTGCTGTAGATGCTGGGTCATTGAGTAAACTTAAGGAGGACATAGATTGATTATTGATTTGTAACAGATTGAAGTGTTATACTGAGCAGGCAGGAGAGGAGAATTGAGGTCAAGATGAGAACAGCCATGATTGTATTAAATGACAGAGCAGGCCCAGGGGCTCAATTGTCTACTCCTACTCCTAAACTTATTTTGACCCAGCGACAGTGAAGGAACGGCGATATATTTCCAAGTCAGGATGGTGAGTGATTTGGAGGGGAACTTGGAGATGGTGGTGTTCCCATATATCTGCTGCCCTTGTCCTTCTAGATGGAAGTGGTCGTGCATTTGGAAGGTGCTGACTGAGTATTTTTGGTGAATTTCTGCCGTGCATCTTGTAGATAGTACACACTGCTGCTACTGGTGAAGGGAGTGGATGTTTGTAGATGTGGTGCCAATCAAGCTGCTGCTTTGTCCTGGATGGTGTCA